ATTTATTTATTTTGCCCCCAAAGCCCCAGTAGATAGTTGTATGTCATAGTTGCACATCCTTCTAGTTGCTGTATGTGGGACGCGGCCTCAGCATGGCGGGAGAAGCGGTGCATTGGTGCGCGCTCAGGATCCGAACCCAGGCTGCCAGCAGCGGAGCACGCGCACCTAACTGCTAAGCCACAGGGCCGGCCCTCTGGGTGGTTTAAATCATTATGTATTATATAATGTGGAAGTGAATGGTGAGTCTGCAAGTGCTGGTGTGAAGGCAACTGAAGAATTTTTAGAAATTCTAGATAAGCTGATTGTGGAGGAAAATTACTTGCCAGAGCAAATGTTCAATATGGGTGAAACCTCATTCTGGAAATAGATGCCTGAAAGGACTTTCATCCATAAGGAGGCCAAGTCAAGGATAGGTTTCAAGCCTTTTAAGGACAGGATAACAGTCTTGCTTGGGGGCGATGTTGCAGGCTACAAATTGAAACCCTTTGTGATCTGGCACAGTGAGAACCCCAGGGCCTTCAAGCACATCAGTAAGCACATGCTGCCAGTGTACTACAGGAGCAATGAGAAGTCATGGATGACCCAACTCCTCTTCCAGGATGCCTCTCTGAATTGCTATGCCAGCGAAATGGAGAAGTACTATTTGGAGAATAACATTCTTTTCAAGATTTTGCTTATTGATAATGTTCCCAGAAATCCTCCTTTTATTGGTGATCTTAATCCCAATATCAAAGGTGTTTCTCCCGCCAAACACCCCCTCTTTGATCTGGCCAATGGGTTAAGGAGTTATAGCAGCTTTATAGCAGCTATAAAAGGCCTTAAAAGGAGGACCTTTGCCCAGGCTATTGCTTCAACTGAAGAAGACACTGATGCAATTCTGGAAGGACTACAACATCTATGACTGCATCAAGAACTTGCTTGGGCTTGGGGTGAGGTCACCAAGGAGTGTAAGAATGGCATCTGGACGAAGCTCAAGAGGTTCGTCCATGACTTAGAGGATTTGCCAAGGATGAGGAGGTTGCAAAAATCAGTGAGGCTGTGGTTGAGATGGCAAACAGCTTTAACCTGGGTGTGGATGAGGATGACATGGAGGTGCTCCTAGAGGTGGTTCCTGGGGAACTGACTAATGAGTTGTTGGAACAGGAACAGGAACACATAGCTGAGGAAGAGGCAAGAGAAAAGGAAACTACAAGAGAAGAAAAAGAAGAACCCTCAAGAAAATGCACAGTGAAGGGTTTAGCAGAAGCTTTTGCAGACCTCAACAAGCTCCTTTAAAAAATTTGAAAACTTGGCCCCCAACATTGAAAGGTTTTCATTAATAGAGAGGAATGTTCATGGTACGTTATCTGCTTATGAGCAAATCTATAATGAAAAACAGAAAACAAGTAGGCAAACCACCATGGACATATTTTTGAAAAGAGTGGCACCTCCTCAAGTAGAGCTTCAGGAGGTATTCCAGAAGAAGGCATTGTTATCATAGGAGATCACAGCTCCATGCATGTTATTGCCCCTGAAGACCTTCCAGGGGCCAAGATGTGGAGGTGGTAGACAGTGATACTGATGATCCTGACCCTGTATAGGCCTAGGCTAATGTGTGTGTTTGTCTTAATTTTTAACAAAAAATTTTAAAAAGTTAAAAACAATACAAAATTTTAAAATAGAAAAAAGCTTATAGAATAAGAATATAAAGAAAGAAAATACTTTTGTACAGTTGTACAGTGTGTTTGTGTTTTAAGATAAGTGTTATTACAAAAGAGTCAAAAAGTTAAATTAAAAAGTTTATTAAGTAAAAAAGTTGCAGTAAGCCAAGGTTAATTTATTACAGAAAGAAAAATACTTTTCATAAATTTAGTGTAGCCTAAGTGTTTATTATAAAGTCTACATTAGTATTCAGTAATGTCCTAGGCCTTCATTTAACTCACCACTCACTCACTGACTCACCCAGAGCAACTTGCAGTCCTGCAAGCTCCATTCATGGTAAGTGCCCTATACAGGTGTACCATTTTCAGTCTTTTATACTGTATTTTTACTGTACCTTTTCTATATTTAGATACACAAATACTTACCATTGTGTTACAGTTGTCTACAGTGTTCAGTACAGTAACATGCTATACAGGTTTGCAGTGTAGGAGCAATAAGCTATACCATATAGCCTAGGTGTGTAGTATGCTATACGATCTAGGTTTGTGTAAGTACTCTATGATGTCCACACAACGACGAAATCTTATAGTGACACATTCCTCAGAACATATCCCCATCATTAAGCAACACATGACTATAATTGACTTATACCATAAACTAGTTAGTAACCATCTTTGACTGTGGTCAATTACAAACTTCTAATACACAACTTTGAGTTATTCAGAGAAACCTTATTTATATTAGGAGCTTCCCCCCCCACCCAAAAAATGTCATAGCCTCTGTGACCTCAGCTTCCTCTTTTGTAAAATGATGGGATTAGAGTAGATATTTCTGAGTTTCCTTTTATTATTAACATTCTGTGACTATAAGTCAGTTATTTAGGACACATAACATATTTGCATAGACATTATTAGAATAGATATTAGGTTTCCAGGCTAGCTCATAAAACCTCTTGAACAAGTAATGTACCTGAAATATAGTCCAAGTAGAACTTTATCCAACTATATCTAATGGCAGTTTATAATATAGTTTATAACATAATATAGTCCTAAAGTGATTCCTGCTTCCCTGTCTATCCCATCCTCCAGCTTGGGGGAGGACAAAGGGCTCTGTTAAACAGAGAGAGTAAATCCTTCTGCACATCACTCTACCTGTGTCTGCCTCTTACTGCAATGAAGGTAGCGTATCTGGTACTTTCATGTCGTCATGTTTGGTTCTCCTGTGAGGAGATCAGATCAGGCCAAATCAGTGGATCAGTTTACAGTTGTCATATCAAATTTAATAAACATTTTCTTGGCCAGAATTTGAAAACTTTTTGGTAACTTTTAATGCTTGGTAGTGGTGTCTTGTAATGTGAGCAAAAATTATTGATTCTAAGTGTCTGTAGAGATAACTTTGGAAAAATACGTTCTAGGCAGCTGAGATTCTACTACGACATGGAGCAAATCCTAATCAAAAGGATCAAAAACAGAAGACTGCTTTGGATGAAGCAGATGATGAAAAAATGAAAGAGCTGCTAAAATCTTATGGTGCTGTTGAGACTGATGATAGAGATGAGAGTAATGCTGTAGTCACTGGTATGTATGTCAGTATTGCTTGCTATTTTATACAGGAGTATACTCTGCTTAGAAAATAAAATCTTCATATTTGTAGTGTAAGTTGTTTCATAACTGGGGATAGATGTTTTATATCTTTATTAAACTCTTGAAAAGCATTCTTTATTTTTAGTAATTAGCATTTTTAAATTTGGTTTAATTTATAGATCATGTGATCCTATTGGATTGGAGTTACATGTTGAAATGAAACCCGTATCGTTCATTAAACAAATATTAATCTCCCTACCGTTGGGTCTGAGATAGATGTTACAAACTATGCAGATTGGTTTACTTGTAGTGGGGCTGGAAGAGGATGACATTATATTAAAGTCTTTGCAACTCAGATTCTATTACTTCAAAATTTGTAATTGTAATGATTCATAGAAAAGTTGGAGTGATGCCAACTTTTCAAGACTCTAATATTCTAGTGCTAGAATATGAATTTGTTAAGCAGATATACTCTACGTGTGTGTGTGTGTGTGTGTGTGTGTATGTAATAGACTGTAGTGAAAAGAATATTTCAGGAGAATGTATAGCCAGGGAAAATTTTATGAACCATTTTTTAGCAGTAGTTTGCATTTAGATAATAATAATGAATTATCTGTAAGAAATAGGCATTTAGTGAAGACTAATTTAGAAAATATACATTTGTTGAACACCTGCTGTGCAAACCAGGCACTTGCCCACTAGGAGCTTCCAGTCTTGTGGGGAGACCAACCAGAAAACAGGCAATTAAACACAATTTATTAAGTGGAGGAGAGGGAATTGTTCTTCCTTTTCCCTCTTGCTTGAGCCTTGACTCGTAGAAGAAGAAACTCAGGAGCTTATCTGCCCTCTCTCTATGAGGAAGAATATTGGGAAGAGTGTCCCTGTCACACACTTCTCCCCCAGCCTCCCACTATCCTTACCAGTTGTTGATTTTCAAGGGAGGAATTATGTTACGGATATGATTGGTCAGAGCCAAGGATAATCATTGTGTCATATTTTACTAGTGAGCTAGATCACATGTAGGCAAGGTCAAGACTGACACAAGTTTCCTCTTTTCATCGCCTGCTACCATATGGTAAGTGCTAGGGTCAGGGCCTTTCTTAGACCCCCAGCCATGTCTCTCTCCCTCTCCACTGCCCTATCTGAAGGTTCAGGCTCCATAAGTTACATCAGCTCAGCTTACCAGAGAAACCTTGCTTTTGGAGTTATTGGGCAGACTCTTATAAAGTGCCATATCTATTTCCACTTGTCTGTTGTTTCTTAGAAATTGTATACATTTCCTTGGTCAGGTACCCCAAAGAGATGAGAGATATAGGGTGCAATAGTTATATGGAGACAGGAAATCCAGAATGGGAGGAGGATCAGAGAGAACTTTACAGAGACCATGAATCATAGTCATAGTGGTTAACAGCATGGACTTTGGAATCAAATCTGGTTTCAATACTAGCTGTGTGACGTTAGGCAACTTCCTGAATCCCTCTAAGCTTCACTTGCTTCTTCTGTAAAATGGATTTAATAAACTTCCTACATCACAGGGTTCATATAAATATTAAATAGGATGATTCAGGGGAGGAGATTGATATCCACGGTGTGATAAATATTCAGTAAATGTTAGCTGTAATTAGTCAATTGATAATAATAATAAATAATGAAGTACTGACCAACATTAAGATATTATAATAATTATAGACTTAATTTCTTCTTCCCATTCCTGTCACCATTACAATTGATAAACCTAAATTTTTGCACATTCTTATATTTTCCAATTTTATTTTTTAAAGTAAAAATTCATGCTGTCCGGTCAAAAAGACATAAACAGTGTTTTTGTGATGACTGCAAAACTATTGATTCACCTTCTATTTCACACCAAGAAAAAACAAGAAAAAGCCCTCCTGTGGTGAGTAAAGTTGAAATCCTTTCTTTTTCTTCAGCCTAGAAAATGCCATTCCTTGGGCCAGCTGCCACTGGCTATTGGCAGCACTCTTTCCATTTTAAGGACGTGCAGGTTGAAAATATTTTTGTCATAAGAAAATAATATAGCATAATTGAACAGAATGAACCAAGAAGATATGTTGTATGGTAAACTCTCAATTATCTATATTGAATACAGAATTATGATTACCTGCTGTTCTTTACACCTAGGTTGAGTACTTTGGCTACTTCTTATCCCACAGACACTACCACTGTCATAGTGTGTCTTTATCCAACTACTCCCCAAAAGTGCCTAAGGTATGTAGTAGGCAGAAAAGACCCTGAAACCCAGGCAGAGAAAAGGAAAACAACCTGGTTTAGCCAACCTGGATCTCACATGGTTAATAGTGATAGTGTGTGAAACCCCTCATGTGAAGGCATATTTTTGGAGAAAATAACATAGTAGTTGCTCAATCAATATATATTACTTGATAAGATGGATATTCTTAGTTTGATAAAAACACAAAGCTCACTAGACACTAGCTTCTTAAGCAAAGTAGCGTTCTCAGTGAAATATTATTTTGAATAAGACTATGTATGTTGATTAGACTTCTCTTACATACTTTCTGTTAGTCATTGTTGAGGGGAAAATGTCATTCATTTAACCTAAACTGTGATTAATCAACTAATATATACCTTAAATATTTTATTTTAAGTGGGATTCAAAGTAAATTGCATTTGCCTCAGCACTTCAAAAATAGTTTGCATTGTTTCCTAGTGTCTTTTGTAATGGATGAAAAGTCAGCTGTCAATCTAATTGTCATTCCCTTGTAGATAATCCTTGCCACTTTTAAGATTTTTCTCTTACTCTTTTATGTTCTACAGTCTCACTAGGTTGTCTCTAAACGTGGATGTGTTTTTATTAATTATATTCGGGACTGGACTTGCTTCTTTAATCTGAAGACACATTTCTCATTTGTATTCTGAAACTCTCCGCCTCTATATCTTTGAGTATTGCCTCTCTTCCATTCTCAGTATGCTCCTTGTTTAGAACTCCTATTTAGACGTGTTAGACCAATCTCCATGTCTCCTAGTAGGTTTTTCATATTTTCCATCTCTAACTCTCTGTACTATACTCTGGGTAACTTCCTTGGATCTCTCTTCTAATTCATTATTTCTCTCCTCAAATATTGCTAATCATTTAACCCATACATTGAGTCTTTAATTTCAGTGACTGTGTTTTTTATTTCTAGCAATTCTTTGTTTCCTTTTCAAATTTTTGTTTTAAGAAAACAAAGTAAAAAGACTTTTCTGCTCCTGCTTTACAGTATTGATAGCATGTAAAAAATCTTTTCAAACATTTTTAAAGTCTCCTCCTGACTCTTTCTCATGATAACATGATTCTTCATGTGGTTTGTAATTTTTTGTTGTAATCTCATTTCAGTGCGGGGTGTTTCCTGTGGAATTTTGACGTGCCTAGGCTTTGTACTTTACATTTGCCTCTGCTCGGGCCCTCGGGGTTTATCAGTTTCACACCAGTTTTTATGCTGATTTCTCAGTTTGGGTTCCTGAACCACACAGATTGTATAAATTTAGTTCTTATATACATGTGTGGCATAGGCTTGGGTCTCTGATTTTCTACCCAAAGCCCTAGGTGGGTGACAAGAAGAGTTTTTCTAATCCTTATGTAACCTGAAGGACACCCACTCAAGGTTGCCAGCTTTATTCAGGGGTTGCATTCTAACTCCCTCCTCATGTGGGCCTGAGGCCTCATCTCATGTCCCTTTGTGGGCATTAAAAACCCGGCCCCTAATATCTCTGTTTGTTCTAGATCCCCCATGGGCCACTGCTAGCTTCGTTTTGTTCTAGATCCCCCATGGGCCACTGCTAGCTTCGTTTCTGACACCAGGGAATTTCCCTTTTTCCATTCTTAACTCTGTGTGTGTTTGTGTATTTAAAGCTTATTGTATTTTGTCCAGTGTTTCCGTGTGTTTGGAGCAGACAGGGGTCCTTCTGTATCAGCTCAGCCCACCATATTGACCATAAGTATTTTTAAGGTATGTTTTCACGTAAAGATTAGAACATTATGGGGAGGGCCAGCCCCGTGGCTTAGTGGTTAAGTGCGTGCGCTCTGCTACTGGCGGCCTGGGTTCGGATCCGGGCGCGCACTGACGCACCGCTTGTCCAGCATTGAGGCAGCATCCCGCATACAGCAACTAGAAGGATGTGCAACTATGACATACAACTCTCTACTGGGGCTTTGGGGAGAAAAAGGGAAAAAAAGGAGGAGGATTGGCAATAGATGTTAGCTCAGGGCTGGTCTTCCTCAGCAAAAAGAGGAGGATTGGCATGGATGTTAGCTCAGGGCTGTATTTTCCTCACAAAAAAAAAAAGAACATTATGGGGAAAATGCCCTATTATTAACTATATGAGTCTTTGCTTCAGGAATAATTTACATCATTTTAGATGCCAAGCCTCAGAGAAAATATAATGGAGATATAGGAGTCTGAGGAAAACTAACTTTAAAGGAAAAGAAAAACTCAAAACAAATATGAAGATTTTAAAGTCATTAAGGGTTTGTCTTTTGTAAACGTAAAGTTGTTTCTGAATGTTGCAAATTTCAAACCAAATTGAAGGTGGGGGTGACTCTATGGCCAGATACAAAGGAAATGAGATGATTTTAGTTTGGTGCTACCTTGTAACACCTTCAAATTACAGCATGTAGGCAGCTTCCTTCTCTAGCCCCGTATAGAATGAGTACAGAAGTAAACAATAATAATAACTACTAGGTGTTCACTGAGCACTTATTATATGGCATGCTCTCCTCTAAGCACTTTATATTAATTCAGTTAGTCTTCATAATAACCCTTCTAGGTAGGTTCTGTTATTATCATTAACTTCCTCATTACAGATGAGGAAGCTAAAGTAAGAGAGATTAAGCAATTTAACCCAAAATTACATTTCTATTAAGTAACAATAGCAGAATTAAACTCCAGGTAGTCTGGCTCCAGAGCCTGTGCCCTTAACCTCTGTGCCATATTATGTGAAACTGTAGAAGAGATGTCAGAGGCAAGATGACCCTGCCATAGTAAAAATTGCAAATTTGGAATAAATCATAGTAAAGCTTTACAGTAAACAGAATATAAACTGTTTAAAGCTGCTTGTTCCAAAGACAGATCCTAGGTTAGGATCTTGTTTGTTTTTTTTCCTAAGATAAACAAGCAGTAATGAAGGACTTAAGAAGGGAGATCTTGGAGGGAAAGTTATGCTGGACCCTCCATGGTGGAATGTGAGGCTGGTGTAGAGTGAAGGGTTATGGTCCCTGGTGGCTGAGACTGTGTGCATCCATGATATGAGGTAAAACAGAAAGGAAAGTCAGCGTCAAAAGATATTTTCTTTATCCTAACATGTAGGGAGAGGATTAGCCTGGGCACAAATTCAGACCTTTAGTTTACTTTTATAACCATAGCCATTCAATGTAAAAAGAGATAAATCTTGTTTTGTTCGTTCGTTTTGCATATCTATATTTTATAGTTTTACTTTGATGCATTTCATAAATGACAGCAGTGAGATTACTTTTCCACATAATTGGATGGTTTTATTACTGCACTTTCCATATCCCTTATGGGCACCAAAGTAAAATTTCAAAGCAACATACTTCAGAAGGCTTTGAGGGCCTACACGTTTTAAAAATGAATGTGTATTGAGAGTATATTAAAGGATATATAATATGAGTCAATCCAGCAGTTGTCATTTATTGAGCAACAACCATATATCCAACAATGTGGAAACCATACACAAATATCAAAGCCATGCTCCTGCCTGCCTACAAGATCTCATTATCTTGATGGAGAAACATGATGTGCTAGACGTTATATGTGTTACTGCTCAATTATGTAGCACTGAAATTCTTAAGTAATTCTGAGAAAGGAGAAATTAGTATGGATTTGATTAGTCAGAGGTTTCATCTATGAGATGGGTTTTATATAATAATCAGTGTTCATTGAGCTCTTTGTGCTGGCACTCTTCTAAGCATTTTACATGTGTTGCTCCCTTTAGGCAAGGAGAGGATAAGTAACCTGCTGGAGTCACCCAGCTTGGAAGAGATGGACCCAGAATTCACACCCAGGCAGCTTGGGTACAGAGTCCACTCCACGACTCTGTCTCATAAGAAAGAGAGGGATCTGGACAGAGTAAATTGAAGGCATTCCAGACAGGAAGTTTAGTACTGACAAGGGGATGCAGAGGTGGTCTGAAATCACCTTTGTGAGTTTTTGAGAGAGTAGTGGTTTATGTTTCTAAGATTATGTGTGAGATTTTTTGTGTGTGTGTGAGGAAGATCAGCCCTGAGCTAACATCTGATGCCAGTCCTCCTCTTTTTGCTGAGGAAGATTGGCCCTGGGCTGTCATCCGTGCCCATCTTCCTCTACTCCACATGGGTCGCCGCCACAGCATGGCTTGACGCACAGCGTGTCAGTATGCGCCCGGAATCCGAACCTGGGGACCCCAGGCTGCCAAAGTGGAGCATGTGAACTTAACCGCTACGCCACCTGGCAGGCCCTGTGTGAGATTTTAATAGTGTGCAATGGGAGTCATAAAGCCTTAAAGTGAACTTGTTGCATGTATGTGACCTTTAAATACTATGTGCTGAGCAGTTGTTGTTCTCCTAGACCTGTAAGTATAACAGAGGTCAGTGAGAAATTAGGATTCTTTACATGGTTGCTACTCTTACATTCTGTTTTCCAGAAGTAAATCTGCTACATAAATCAAGATATGTTTAAGTTTACTTTCTTTTTCAAAATGCAGCATACACAGTTAAGGTTAAGCAAAGCATAAGTACATTTTGAATGTAAAAGGAAATGAGCATTTTTAGCAGCACTTTCTTTAGCGCTTTTACTGTGCATTTGCCAATTGCATGTCAGAGAGAAACATCTATCTTCTTGTAATGAAGTTTTTAATATTTTTATTGACAGCATCAGACCATCAGTGCCATTCTGCAGGATATAGAAGAAAAACAAGAAAATTTATTAGAGTTTGAAATAAGAACCCCCGAAGAGGCAGGTAAATGTGGATTCTAACTCAAGTTTATTTTGAATATCCAAGGTCATTGCTACCTCATCTTAAGGTACATGTTTATTTCAAAGCTCCCAGTGGCTGAAAAAGTGGTCTTTTTTCTTAATGCTGGAGTATTTAAAGTGCCAGGACTGATCATTAGAAGTCAGTGATGCAAACCTGTAGTTTGTGTAATTGTTGATAAAGATACTTCTAGACTCAAGGTGTAGCATGAGTAATTTGAGAGAGACTGAGAACCATGATCAGAGATAAACCACTACTGGTGATATGTTTAGATGGAGATGTGACAAAAAGTATAAGAGAGTGACTAGAGATGAGATTATGTTACTCCTCAGCTCCTCAGTTTCACCCAGCTATGGCAACCCTTAAAAGCAGATCAGAAGAGGAATGTGCATTGGTGACACAAGTAGAACAAATCCTCATAACTGTCAGATGAGCAGACAAACCAAGTGAGTGTCTCACTGCATAGATGTCTTCCTGTTTGCAAAACATTAGTGATTCAAAATAGGAAATTAGACTCTGATCCCTGACCTAATAATCTTACTTTCTCAAAACTTCAGTAAATATTTGCAAACCCTTGATAGCTCATAACTATGTTTTCTTGACTTATGATTTACAGGGTAGAAAGTCACTCCTGATAGATGCAGATCCGAATGTTAAAAGTAGTCAGCTAAAAATAAAGTAATTTAGGGGGCCAGCCCTGGTGGCCTAGTGGTTAAGTTCGGCGTGCTCTGCGCGCTCTGCTTTAGCGGCCCAGGTTCAGTTCCAGGTCACGGACCTACGCCACTCATCTATCAGTGGCCATGCTGTGGCAGCAGCTCACACAGAATAGAGGAGGACTGGCAACAGATGTTGTGCTATGAAGATTCAGGGAGAATCTTCCTCAGCAAAAAATAAAAATAAAGTAATTTAAAATACCTCATCAGTCTTTTGTGTAGCATGGTACAACTGTTAGTTCTTGTCTTGTCCTAGCTCAAGTTGTGTAGCCTCTTTAAAAAATCATTTCTTCTTAAATTGTACCCATTCTGCTTTTCATCCTGGCCTAACACATGGTACATGTTATGTTTTGAGGAAAATAATACAAAATAACTCACACTCCCAAACAAATATGTATAGTTTGTGTATTTTATTTAGTATTTATAATATTTTAAGCATCTTAGATGAATTTTCCAAGTTTATAATTTTTTCATTATAAAAGACATATAGATGCACTTCAAAAAATAATAAAGAGGAAAAATTATGCTAAAATTACCTATTGTCTCATCACAATATTTTGATGTATTT